TCTCCATGTCCTCGCCAACATTTGTAATTATTTTCTGGGCTTTTTTGTTGTTGATGTTTTTGGTAGCAGCCTTCCTAATAGGTGCGATCTCACTGCGGTTCTGATTTGCATTTCCCTAATGATGAGTGGTGTTGAGTATCTTTTCGTGCGCTTACCGGCCATTTGTATAACTTCTTTGGAAATGTCTATTCAAGTCCCTGGCTTATTTCTGAATCAAGTTGTTTGTTTTTCTGTTGTTGAGCTTTAGGGGCTTTCTATATATTCAGAATAGGAATCCCTTATCGGATATAGGATTTATAAATATTTTCATATCTCGCTCAAGGCATTTTTTTTCTGTCTTGTGCACTTTTAAATAGAAATCGCTATGTCTGTGTCTGCAACTGAGGGCCCCTTGCACTCCACCTATCACAGATGCATCACATCCATGGAAGGTTCTTTTTCCAGGAGCCCAGAGAGAGCTCATAACAGATTGTATCTCAGTGAATGGTCTTGCCCCAGGAGCCCCGGGGAAGGACCTGCCTCACATCTAAATAATCAAAAGGCCCTTCCTAAATAATCAAAACCTCAAGTGGCAAATTTGCACATGCCAAAGGCTCTGCTGCAATGGTCGTGGCCCAAAGCTTCAGGGTAGAAAGAAGGGCCTGGCTTTCGCCACCTTGCTCTTCTTACTAACCCTGCCGGAGGAGCAGCCTGAAAACTGAGCTCATCTGGGCTCAGGGACACACACTTTTAACTAGTGGCTGGTGGTGTGACAGAGCTTTCAGATTCTGCTTCAGGGTCATCCTTGCCTTGGAAGGCACTGAAATCCACTCTATTTTCTTTTTCTAGGACCCAGTTCCAGGTTCCTTCAAAGCCCCAACAATGGGAGTTTTCCTCTGTGCTGCAAATTCTGGCCCTAACAACCCAAGCCCCGAGGAGGGGAGAGGTGGGTGTACCAGAAACTCATGCAATAGTTTCTGGCACTCACCGGACCCTCCTATGCCAAGAGGTTCCAGGAAAACTAGCACATCCCAGGATCAGAGGAAGTAGGGCAGCAACGGGGGACTTTTTCCTAATGAATTCAATAAACTCTTAGGACAATAACCCACCAAGGGTCAAATATAGATAGGAAACAACTTCGCAGGCTTTTAGAGGCTTTTTTTTTTCTAAGGAGAGAGAAAAACAGAAAATATTCCATTATTGGCTCTCAAAATGAATCGCTGGGAATATAAAACTCATCTATAAATATAGGAAGTATATAAATTTCAATTCTATATGATGGCCAGTTAACTGGGGGTGAGAGGGGTCAGGGGAAAGGTCAAGTGGAGCAGAAAAAAGAGAGGAGGGAGGAAGCAGGGACAGGATGCGCGACGAGAGGAGGGAGGACTTTGAAGGACATTAGAGAGAAACACAAGAATATTTTCAGAAGAAGAGACACAAAACACAAGGGAGCAAAGTACAGTGAGAGATGGAGAATTCTCGAAAGGTTGTCATTTGAAGGTGAGTCACTGTTGCCACACCTCTCTACTCACCTGAGCATGTTAGAGATGTGGCAAGTCAGAGCTGCAGGGACATGAGCTCATCTTGTCCAATTCCTTCTGTGCTGGGTTGAATAGTCCTCCCCCCCCCCCCC